TGTTTCTTAATATTTAGCTTAAGATTTGGATGCCATCATTCGCAATCCTTCGAATGTCCCCCGTGTTGGACGTTGCCTCCTCTGTTAAAACCCTTTTCCAGATACGTAAAATATTAATATTTGCTTGATGTTAGCATCTCCACTTCGAAATTCTCACGTTGTTCTTCGTTTTGCTGACTACCATTCATTCTGTCTTCTTCCAATTGATGTTAAATTCTACCTTCTGTAGGAGTTTCTTTACTTTTCTTTCTCTATCTACGGCTTTGAAAAGTGGCAAGTAAAATTGTTGCCTTGTTGCCTCTAGATGTATCTTTTGAGTGGATGGTCAGTTCATCTCATTTCTACTCCTCTCCATATATATATATATATATATATATATATATATATATATATATATATATATATATATATATATATATATTTGTTTTCCACCTCGAAAGTCAACATGCCTGTCATATTTTTCGGGATTTACTGATTGTATGAATTCTGATATGAAAGAACAATGATTGAATGAAAGCATAACAAATCATGTTTAACGCATTAATGCTTATTATAAACCCTTGTATTTTTATTAATTACTAAAAATCCAATTTTAATTATACTTTTATATTTTAAATCCAATATTAATTATGCATCTATCTCTATCCCATTAATGCCTATCATCACCAAGTTTAGACACTAAATATATAATATATATATATATATCCAGTATTTGAAATGCAAGCTAAAGGGCTCTGTTTGTCTAACATAATTGAAAAAAAAAACGTTTCAAGCTCGATTATAAATTTACATTGCTTCTGGGTTCAGTGAAATTGTTTCATCGCTAATCATGTTCTTCATTGTTAAAGACGTACCATTCAGTTAGTATCGTTATTGAGTACTTATGACATCGATGTTAAAACACAGTCCTGAGTTTCGTTCCCCACCACTCCTATCCCAAAGTACGTAAATATATACATGATCAGAGCAAAAAGTAACGGAAGTGTTGCTAAAGTACACAGAGGGAAGTCGTTTGGCACATACTGAATTTGATCGCCGTCCCGCGAAGTTATAACGTTCTAGCTGACTTCCCTTCTTTATAGCAGCGCTTAGAAGGAATGTGTGTAGAGAATGGTAGCCTCACCGCGCAGCAGGTTTTGGCCAAGAAACATTTCTCAGGTCCGACAACGATCGTATTCCTCAGATATTTCCCCTTGCGGCATTTCCTCTTCATCAAAGATGAAATCTCACCTGGAAGGTGACAAGTAATTCCAGGAATGCCTCCCATGATAGAAACTATGCTTGATGAAGTGTGTGGCTTCAGAAAGGGGACTACTTCGAAGGAGATTATATGTCGAATTAATACGTGCTGTTGTTTTGTTTTGTAGCACGAGTCCCGATACTTTATCAGCATGCTTAATATATATATATATATATATATATATATATATATATATATATATATATATATATGGATAGAGCAAACAGTATAAAAAATATATACGGAAAAAACAAACAAAAATATTATATACAATTATAAATTTGTTTTATCAATAATTATCAATTATCGTCTTTGTTGTTGTTTTGATAATGTTATAATTTATGAATATGTCCTGAAGATGGTTTATTAGACTGAAACGTCCGACGTTGACATATTATCATTAAGACAGCATAATTGTATATATGATTTTTGTTTGTTTTTTTCCGTATATATTTTTTTATATATATATATATATATATATATATATATATATATATATATATATATATATATATATTTCACTGTATCACACATGAAAAAATAAATGCGCAAAAATTCACTTCCACTCTGACGAGCGTCGATAACTTAAGAGTTAGAATCTCCGACTGATGCTAAATCGGTCGGGTATCGGTCCCGGCCTGAAGCTGATCGAATGTCTAGCTACACTGGTGAGCTGCGATACAGCGAAACCGTCCGTCTGTAGATGACTATATATATATATATATATATATATATATATATATATATATATATATAATATATGTCGTGTAATTTATTGGGGTTGTTGTAACGTCTTTCTTTAATGTAGTTCTTATCGCTCACCCCTTAACCACCTTTATCTAGAGACGAGACGCGTTAAATTTCAGCAACATCCAGCCGACACACTGGGGTTAAAATGGGAAACTAAAATGATACATATGACACACTCATATCCTCTCTCCCACCTCACTTCCTCACTTCGTTAACTTTGCGTATACTTGATGAGGTCCGTAAAAAACGTGTGAATTTCTTTTCATTTTTCATTTCAGCTTTTGGAAGTAAAGTCTGATGATCCAGAACCCTGTTAAAGGGGTTATGGTGAAATAGCTTATTACATGGAATCTTAACGTGGTCTGTCTTTTATTCAATATATATATATATATATATATATATATATATATATATATATATATATATATATATATCTCATATTTTTTTACACTCTTTAACATCCAAAATGTACCTTACCCATATTTATATATTATCTTTTGCGTTAGTACACGTGCTATGTATCTGAGCAATAAGAACTAAACAAAATCATATACCACGACTCTGAAATAATTTGAATAAAAAAAAAACCTTTAGAAACTGGATTATGCACCATACACGTAAATCAAACAAGTGCAGAATTTTTAACTATTTTGGAATTGTTATAAAAGACTACGGGATATTTGATATAGAAATCTGATGGCGCGATTGATTTAAATAACGTATTGAGGCGTAGGGGTTGTCGAATTACTATGTTCTGTCTCCTATATGACAGCGATTGCTGGACAGTTCCCCCCCACACACAGAGCAAGACGAGACTTGAGACAACAAATATGTGGTCCGATAAAAGGGTGCTGAATGTAACACGGAATGAATATGAAACGAACGAAAATTTTTTAATGAAAATGATATTGAAACTTATACCTAGTTGACATTTCTAGGACATGTAACGTTGAAAGACGGCTTGGCGAATTTGAAACTCATAGAACATACTGAAGGCAAGAGAAACAGAAAAAAACATCGAGTAATTTTACCTAACAACAAAATTGGATTGATTGATTGTTTTAGCTTAGCAGCATATAGACATCTATGGGTTATTTAATGCCGAAATCTAAACATTTTTGTACACAATTTTACTTTATGTTTGGAGATAATAATAGTTTAGTGACACAAGTCTTACTAATTAACCCATAACTAGGGGAAAAGAGGTGTATTAATACCTATCCAAAATGTATTTGCGCGTCAGTGAATATAAAGAAGCCGGCGGGAATTGGTACTCGGCTCTGCGATTAACAATTCTGATCCATTATCCATTACAAATCCAACACATTCAAGCTTATAGCATCTACTATTCCCAATCAGTCACCCATATATGGGTACTGACCAGGATTGATGTTGCTTAATTTCGGTGATCGTGCGGGAACAGTTGTTTCAAAGTGATGTGGCCGCAAACATCGTAATTGAGAGGAATAAAAAGGGAACAATTATTGCTTAGAGCGACAAAGTATAGGATGTTGTGAAGAGCCATGACCAGCCAAGAAACTCTTCACAATATGCATTTGTAAGACGTCGAATATCTTCAAGTATATCGTGCAAAGTTATTTTCAAATTATTTATTCACTTGTTATAAAATTTTAACAGCTACTTATTGTCAACAGATAGGATGGGTTGGTATGAAGAAATCAGAGATCCGAGTTCGAATTTCATTCAGGTTTGCTATATTCACTTATGTGCAAATAGCCTCAGGGCAAGGTTTAAATTTATTTCCTCCCCCAACTATGGGTTAAATAGTAGTGTTTGTATCTGAAAAAAAACATTGTTATTCTCAAAATATTGTTAGTGCCATATTTACTAAAAAAGAAAAATGAATCTGTTTTAAATCAGCTAATTTGATTGTTGAATCGTACAAAGCAAATGAATCTACTAGCAAAAGAGATACTTTTCATGTTATGTTTTGGATTAGTTTCTTAATGAGAGCTAGACAATATATCCTTCGACATGGGTAGTAGAACAAGAACACCCTCCACTTGTATATTGAATAAAGAGTTTACTTCAGAATTCCCTGTAAGTTACTCAGATCGCGATACACCATATGAAGACCTGAAGGTACAACATTGTGATATGAACAACAAAGATGTGGACAATAATCCGCATGAAAATAGTGTAATAATAACTCCTCACCCTAGAAATTCAGACTGTGACCCACAAGTGGTTGATAAGCCGTAAAAAAAAGTAAATAAGTCAATTAATCACCAGCAGAATTAGTGTTCTGGGGATATATTCTCTGATTTTGTTTTTTTAAATAGTTTGTTAATTAGAGTTGTTCTAAGAAGTACTGTACAATATTTGAGTGACCTGAATGAAGAAAAACCAAAAAAATAAAAAAACAAAACAACAACAAAAAAAGAAAAGAAAAGCAAAACAACAACAACAAAAAAAACAAAAAAACAAAAACACTATCTCGCCGAAAATAGAAAAGCTGGAAGAGAAGACAGGCAGAGGAACAGATGAAGAAATCAATATTATAAAAAAGAATTGAAATGGCACTTTTCTCTTGAGCTATTTCTTCACGTTATCTTCGACTGAATGTACGTAAACTTTGTGCTTGGTGCAAATTGTTTCGTTTATTTTTTTTTTTTCTATCCGTCTTTCTCTTCCATTAACGCAGTTCCCATTGTGTGTTTCCCCTGAAGAACACACTGCATGGTTTTGTTCGTGTTTCTTCCGCTTTAAATTTTCTTTATAAAATAACACAGTTCAGTCTGACGTTTATTTTGGATAAATGCCGGGCTAATTAAATATTGGAAAGTGGTTAGAGAAACTGATTTTTAGAGACTACAACCTGAGTATCATTACTGCATTTATATAGGACAACTATTTCTTTCTTTATCTTGTCTTTTTTCTTTTCTTTCTTTCTCTTTTGCATTCTTTATATTTTCACTTTATTTTCTTGCTTAACTTATTTTCCACTTCTTTTTTTTTAATTCTATCTCTTCTTTCTTTTTGGTGATAGTATTCTTTCTTTCTTTTTTCTTTCTTTCTTTCTTTCTTTCTTTCTTTCTTTCTATTCCTTCGATTTTTTTAAACTTATTTCTTTTACACATAATTTTCTTCCTTTCCTTTTTCTTCTCTATCGTTTTTTCTCATTTCTTTTCGTTTCTTCCCTTCTTTCTGTCTTTCCTTCTTTCTGATGTTACTTTCTACCTTAATTCTTTCCTAATGTTCCTTCCTTACGCTTCTTTTCTTTTTTTGTTTCTTTTTTCTTTTCTTTCTTTCTCATGTTTCTTTAGGTCTTCTAACCTTTCTTCCTTTCTTTCTTTCTGTTTTCATTCATTCATTCATTCATTCTTTCTTTCTTTCTGTCCTTCTTTCTTTTATTTCTTCTTTCTTTTCTTTCTTCCTTACTTCGTTCGTTCGTTTCCTTCCTTCCTTCCTTCCTTCCTTTCCTTTCCTTTCCTTTCCTCCTTCCTTCCTTCCCTTCCATTCCCTTTCCTTTCCTTTTCTCCTTCCTTCCTTCCTTCCTTCCTTCCTTCCTTCCTTCCTTCCTTCCTTTCCTTTCCTTTCCTTTCCTTTCCTCCTTCCTTCCTTCCCTTCCATTCCCTTTCCTTTCCTTTTTCTCCTTCATTCCTTCCTTCCTTCCTTCCTTCCTTCCTTCCTTCCTTCCTTCCTTCCTTTCCTTTCCTTTCCTTTCCTTTCCTCCTTCCTTCCTTCCCTTCCATTCCCTTTCCTTTCCTTTTCTCCTTCCTTTCTTCCTTCCTTCCTTTCCTTTTTCTCCTTCCTTCCTTCCTTCCTTCCTTCCTTCCTTCCTTCCTTTCCTTTCCTTTCTTTTTTCCTTTCCTCCTTCCTTCCTTCCCTTCCATTCCTTTCCTTTCCTTTCCTTTTCTCCTTCCTTCCTTCCTTCCTTCCTTCCTTCCTTCCTTCCTTCCTTCCTTCCTTCCTTTCCTTTCCTTTCCTTTCCTCCTTCCTTCCCTTCCTTCCATTCCCTTTCCTTTCCTTTTCTCCTTCCTTTCTTCCTTCCTTCCTTTCTAACTTCCTTCCTTTTCCTTTCCTTCCTTCTTCCCCTTTCCCTTCCTTTCCTTTCCTTTCCTCTTTCCTTCCTTCCCCTCCATTCCTTCCTTCCTTCCTTCCTTCCTTCCTTCCTTCCTTCCTTCCTTCCTTCCTTCCTGCCTGCCTGCTGTGTATTTCTTTCTGTTTTCTTTCTTTTCTTATGTTTCTTTCTTCTTTTTCGTTTCAGTTTCTGTCCATTTCAGGTAACTTCTTTCTTTCTTTAGTATTTTTTATCTATGTTCCTTTTGTTTATCTCTTTTCCTTTGAACGACTTCTTTTTTTCATTAGCTTTCTTTCTTTTCTCACGCTTATTTTTCTCAACGTTTTATTTCCTTCATTTCTTTCCCATTTTTCTTCTTGTTTCTTTCTGTGTTCTTTCCTTTTCTTTCTTTTATATTCTTTATTTTAGCTTTCTTCATTTTTATACCTTATTTCTTTTTTCTAGCTTTCTATATTTCTCTCTTTTCTGCTTTTCTCTTGGTATTTTTCTTATATTTTTGTTTCGTGTTTTTCTTTCTTTCTTTCACTTCCGTTAAATCTTGTTCTTTCTTCCTTTCTATTTCCACCCCTCATTATTAACTGGCTACTTTTCCTCTTTCGTTTTCCCTTCTCTCTATGTTTGGTTGGTTCTTTTCTTTTTTATTTATTTACTCTGTTACTTGTCAGTTTCTTTCTTTCTTTCTTTCTTTCTTTCTTTCTTTCTTTCTTTCAGTTTCGTTACATCTTGTTCTTTCTTCCCATCTTTCTTTCCTCTCTCTTATTTTTAACTGTGTTGGTTGATAGTTTGCCTTTTTCATTTATTTACTCTTTTCTTTCGTTCTTTCTTTCTTTCTTTCTTTCTTTCTTTCTTTCTTTCTTTCTTTCTTTCAGCTTTTCATCTGACACCCGTGCCTCATTCTTTGTTGACTATTCTACTGTTCCGCTGTGCATTTCTATGTCGCAACCCTATCATGACAAATATCTGCCACCCTTTTCAGGCAGTAGATTCTGCGTGTTAATTTTCTGCCATAAAGTTGATTAAAATACTACTCTGTTGTTTATTTCCTTCGTCTCATTCTTCTCTATCCGTTCCTCCTTTTCCCTTCCATAGTTTTTTTTAATTTTTTTAAATCCATTTTACTATCAATACATCCTTTACTCTTTATTAAACTTTTTTGATTTCGTGTTTCTTTGCTTTCTGACAATATCCAATACATTATTTCAATCATCCGATGCTTTTTGGGGCCTTTCTAAGTTCGTCGAAGTTTTCTTTTCTGTTTTTATGTCTCATTTTATATATTATTTTCTTGTTTTGCCTCTCCAGTTTGATACGCTATTTAATGCTCTTCTCTCTTCTATGTTCTTAGTTTATATGTTCATTCATTTTTATTGCTTTGTTTTTTTACTGCGTTCTGATTGGACCGTCTTTATTCTGGACGAAACTCTTGTTTCTCTTTCTCTTTCAATATGACTTCTTTATTTTTACATTTGCAGTTTCATTTTTATTCGTAATTTTATGCTTCTTCTTAAATTAGTTTAAAATAAAAGTAATAGTAATAGTAAATAGAGTCTGGATTTTCGGATACAATTCGAGAAATGTCAAGAAAATGTAATTAAAAATAACACTATCTGATTCAGCATTTTTTTCATGTCAAAATTTCTTATCGTTTCGCGCTTATTTTTGCCTCGTCTTGAACACGTATTGTAAGCTGCCATCAATTACGATTGGGAAGTTCGTCACAGCCGATACGCACAAAAACAACATTTACAAAAAGATTTATAATGTCAGCAATAATCTATCAATTTGATGCGTGTAAATTAAAAAAAGAAAGTAGTTCAATAATATAAAATTAATTTGCAAAGATTTAAATCACGAACATTGCTTTAGTTTCCTCGTAGAATAAGAACATTTTCAAGAAATGTATTCGATGAATGTTACGATAACCGCCTTTTTATATTTACTAGTTCAGCCGTGACGCCTGTAAATTTTTGGTATTTTATAATTTAATGTTCTCATGTTTTATAATAGCAAATAAATTGCTAATCTACCATTCAATTATCGGCGATCTGAAAGTATTTAAGCCACATTAACACGTCTGCTTTGTAAAGGAAACTTATATGATTACATTGTCCTTAGAAATGTCAAATATATAGAGATAGACAAAATTGCTTCGCATGAACGTATTTGTACACATATGAACAGTTGTATCTATCTATCTATCTATCTATCTATCTATCTATCTATCTATCTATCTCAATTAGATCTTTATCTATCTATCTATCTATCTATCTATCTATCTATCTCAATTTGATCATTATCTATCCTTATTTGATCATTTTATGTCTATCTATCTCTCTTCCTCTAACTCTCTCTCCACACACACACACACATATCTATCTATCTATCTATCTATCTATCTATCTATCTATCTATCTATCTATCTATATATATATATATATATATATATACCTCGATTTGATCATTATCTATCTACCTTGATTTGATCATTGTTGGCCTGTTTCTCTCCCCCCCCTCTCTCTCTCTATATATATATATATCATAAAATAATAATAAAAGTACAAGTAATTGCACTCGTCTGTAGGTTTGCCTAGCTCTTTAGGTTCATATATATATATATATATATATATATATATATATATATATATATATATATATATATAAGGTAGGGCTTACCCTCTCGTATTCTACTAAGATACCTTCAAAGTAACGTTGCCCAGGACTATAAAAAGTACAAAACTTCTCCCTTTTAAATTTCTTATATAATGCAATAATGTAGACTTCTATTCGAGGTGGATTTGTTCTTCCAGTCGCATTTCACATCCCGAACGCACGTAAACTCTATTAGTTTTTAAGTCGGTTATTTCCTAACAGCAAAATGTTTTTCTTGTCAGATGTTTGTGTTCACGGAAGCGTATTTTCTCCATAATAATAATAATAATAATAATAATAATATAAGTGAACCTGCCAACTAATTGTTATGACTTACCCACAGGATTCCAATGTTTCTAAAAATAAAATTTTAAAAACTGTTAAATTATAAAGACCTGCATATCGAACAAGCAAATATGTGGAAACGTAAAACTACGAGTTTTCATGTTGTGATAAGGGAGTTGGATATCATAAAAATGGGTCCCGAAAATCATGTGAGTAAGTTTTCCAGGCACATCAGCATCTCAGAGCTGCAAAAGATTAATTTGTGCTGAACTACACATTTCATCTGCAAAAGCCTTTCCATCCAACCGAAGCATGCAACGAGAAAGAAGCGTAATAGGGACAGCACAAAATATGGCCCTTAATCAGGTCTTCCAAAAACCTAAACCACTGCTGAACAAGTAAGGTTTTGGATAACAGACGTCTTATTGTCGACCAGACAGCTAAGTTCATAAGTATTAGTTCTGGTTCAGTCCATACTGTTTTAATTGTGAACGTATGGATGAGCAAACTGTCTGCAAGATGGGCCCCAACAATGCTGACACCAGAGCAGAAGCTGAAAAGCGTTGACATTTTCAGAACAATTCTAACTCAATTCCAAGCTGACCCTGAAAATTTACTCTGCAGATGAGTAACTCAAGAAGAAATCTGGGTTCAATACTTCAAGCCTGAATCAAGGTTCAAAGAAAGTAGTTGAATCAATGAGGTTTAAGCAGGCAGCGGCTGTTGTGAAGGTGATGGCTTCTGTTCTTTTTATTTTTTGGATTCAGAAGGCGTAATCATGATAGACTACTTGAAATAGGCAAAAACCTGTTAATGGACAGTACAATGCATCAGAAATGAAACAAAGAAAGGAATCAAATCTAAACGCAGATAAAAGCAGATGGCATTTGGTCTCTTGATCCAGGATAACGCGCCCGTTCGCAATCTTCAGGTTGCAGATGGTGAAATATCCAACTGCGGCTTTGAACTGATGCTCTTTCCCGATTACTCACCAGAATTAGCTTCATCTAACTTGAAATTTCACTTACGTTATTCTTGTAGACTAGTTTCACAGTGGAGGCTTGTATTTCACTGTCGGTCCTAAGATAGGTTCGACGTACAAAACGTTAGGAACTTGATATAATAGTTAATGACGCAGAGAAATATAGTGGTGGTCGCTGATACTTTTAGTATACGACTAACGGTCGTCCGACATCGACTAACTGACCAACTCCGCGACTGACTCGTTACTATTACTACTACTACTACTTATAGGTGGGAGAGTCTATTAACTAGAGAATATGTGTGTTCCACTAAAACAGTTATCGCCATTTTTGAAACAATGATGAGATCATATGTGCCATGGAAGTGTTTTCGGGGTAGCAGAACGCCACCTTCTTCCGTGAGGGGAATGCAATGTTTAATCATTTTTGAGATTGCTCTGAAGAGGGACTATACCGAAAACTAGTACAGGATGGCCTTATTTCACCAACTCTTTCTGGGTGAGGCTTAGAAGACTTTGAATGGCCCAGGTATATAGATATGCGGATAGATAATGTCATATAAATGTGAACACATATCGATCTTAGTAGAAAGATGTTTTGCTTCTCAAATTGACAAATATGAATATCTTCAATATTTGGTAATTATAGATTCGTATTTATCATATTTAACATAAGATTCTGTTACGGCTATGTCAACAGAGGTATAGTGAGCAAGATATTATGCATCTCCGTGTAGAGGACTATCTATCTATCTATCTATCTATCTATCTATATATATATATATATATATATATATATATATATATATATATATATATATAAAGAAATAATCATACTTAGAATCAATCAGCAATATTAATGCAATTAATGGCGAAACCACTTCGCCAGTAGAAACATACTGTATGCATTAAAATACTGTTTAATCCATTGAATGATGTGATCCTCATTTACAAAACTGATCTATGAAAATATTCTTTTCTGCGATTGTTGCTGGCTTCGTAGCGAAGACATTATCTTTTATCTACCCACAGAAGACAATATCTACACTGTAAAAGTATCTATATATTTTTTAGATATCATATCATATATATATATATATATATATATATATATATATATATATATACGGCTTATTGAGTAAGAACATGGGAAAGAAACTGACGTTAGACATTTCATTCTGACATGGTTTTATTATTCGCTGTCACGCTTTCAATTGAATTTACTTGTCCTCTAGTATTAGAGGGAATTCTGGGCAATCTCTTCAAAAGTGAAAAAGTGATTTGAAGCAGGAGATATGCGGTTCTAAAGAAGGATGCTGAAAATGCCATAGAGCGAACTTGTGAGCAACGACGAAGTTCTAGAGACAATAGGGAAAAAGGACACCTATAATTGATATATAAGATATAACGTAATTCCCCATGTATAATACGGATTTTTTCTAAAATATAATAAGCAAAATCATGGGTGCGTATTATGCACAGCTACAAGAAATTGCCGTAAAATGAAATAAGAATTATCACAAAAATAAATAAGAATAATATTATTTTTTAATTAACAGTAGAAAACTCTAACCGTAATGAATTTGGAAAGGTACAATTTTAAGGTTTGTTTACCAAAAAAGGGGTATGAATTATGCGTGAGTAGAAGCATTTTCCCACAAATTCCGTACAATTTTAGGGGTGCGTATTATGGATGAAGGTACATTATACCTGGGGAATTACGGTTGTTGAAATTTATAATTAAGAAAGCGGATTTGAAAAAATTGATACTCACAGGAGAGATCAATGACAAGAGAAACAGAAAAACGACACATCGCCAAACTAGCGGGCTTAACTGAATAGATAGCGAAGAGATGGTGAAAGGACACAATTTATTGAGCACTACAAAGGACCTGAAGATGTGGAGAAGCGTGATCGGCAATGTCCCAAAGGGACACGGAACATAGAAGTTAAATATTGTATTTTAAAATAACCATAGTCTAAAATCTGAATAAATAAGAAAGTTCATTGATTCAATCTAAATAATCTAATAATTTTATTTATTGCTACCATATTTATTGCTACCTTGCACTTATACGTTTCTCCTTTGTTCTTAATGTTTTTCTTGGTTTACTCAAATTGAATTTGGTTCACGAGCAAGAAATTGAATTCCATTTACAACAACATACTCTTGTGAATCTGAATTCAATTATCTTTGGTCAATCAAGAATAACATCTAGGAATCGGCTGAACCCACAAGCAGAAATGCCTATTGCATTCAGCAAGAAGGTTTATTATCACGAAAATGGAGCGAAGAAAAGCATTGAATTTTATGTTCACATTTGTAATTCATTTTTTTGTTTAAATGATTTAAATTAAAATCGAAGTGCTGTATTTTTGGTCACATTAGTGCAACCTTAAAAGCCTATTTGTTAAGTACAATTTGTTCAGCATTAGCAATGTATGTGGTTCCAAAATTAATCATAATTTAGACTTCTTCATCTTCTAATATGATATTAAGTTTTCTAGAAGGTTTGAACATGGATCAAGTATTTTCTGAGTGTGTGGAGTATAAAATATTTTCGGAACCCTTGCTTTCAAAAGTGAGCGATCCCATTTTCCTAGTGGCAAGATCCCAGAGTCGTGATGTAGAAAAAGGGGTTGGTAAGGTGACTGTTAGAAAAAAAGGTGTGTGGCAGAAGGTGGTAGAGTGGCAGCAAGTAACATTTTTTTTTTGGCTTCTTTTTTTTTTATTGCTGTAGATATTTATACTTTCCGAAGAGGGATTCTGAAGAGAAAGCAATTATATTTAAGGAGGTTTTCTCGAAGTATCTTTCTTGAATTTTTGAAAGTAAATTAGAAAATGAGCAGTAGAGAAAAATGCAGCCATATTGATACCGAAAGGAAAAACAGGAAGCAATAAAAGGAATTCAACTATAAAGAAAGATTAGAAGCAGACTAGATGAAAGAGAAAGAACTAAAAGAAAAATATAAGAAAACTATTCGCGTTAGTCAAATGAGGCGTTTTGTTACCAAAACCTTTTTAAAGTACTCATAACTCCTAGTTCTTTTAATAATTTCTCCCCAACCAAAGCGTGAGTGCCATTAGTACGGCGGAGGTTAAGGAGAATGAAAGTGAGGGAAAAGACTTTGTATAGAGGGAATGAGGAAACGATAAAAGATAAACGTGGTTCAAGACAACAGAAGATGGCGATTGCTGTTGCATTTAAATTTTTGAAGACTGTAGTTTTCCAGGAAGAAAGTAAATATAAGGAATTGCGAGAAAATAAAGTTTTGGAGTAGAAATGGCGGTTACATTTAGCTATTTCAACAATCAATGGGTGGGACCTAGATTCCAATCTAGTAGTCACGCTTAAATTCACGTAGTCGAGCCAACAGGGAAAAAAGCTCGTCAGAGCAGTTGCCATGGAAAGACAAAGGAGAGTCACGTAATGTCGGTGAGAAAATGACTGAAATTGAGATGCTAAGGGTTATGGTCCGGTTCCTTGTACCACGGTGATAGTCCAAGGTAGAACCAATAAAGAAGAACTCGAACACAGGTATGGAATAACACAGATATATT